CAACTTGCACAAATACATCTTTTATTTTTGAATAGGTTGTATAGTACGTTTTTGGTATTTTTAAGTTTCTATGTGATATGCATTTAAAAAAAAACGATCTTGAAAAAGAGAAATATTTATCCAAATAAAGCTTTCACGGAAGTATTTTAATTAGAGACGATAAGCTTTCGATCCTTTTTCTAAATGCAGTTTCGAGGAGAATAACAAACTACCTCTAAAATGTCTTCGCATACTTATGACGCTTCTTATAGCATAATTTAATTCATTTGAATCATTTTTTAAGCTGAAAAATTTTTAAATACATAATAAGATATAAATGAACAATTATAGCTATTTTCTGTTAGACGTTTCGTCTTTATTCAAAAGACATTATCAGTCGAATGTGACAATGGATAGTTGATTCTTTGATTCTGAAGGCAGAATCCGGTCGTTTCTTCATCACCGTGCGATCTTTCTTTGGTAAAGATCATTTCTCTGTTTAACATTGCAAACGTTTTACGTTTTTTCCTTCATCTATTAGATCGATGGAGAAAAACAAACTTCGTTGTATTCATCTGTAGTGCAAATTGTTTACAAAGGTTTGGAGAACGAAGAAAAAGAAAAACATGTAATATTAAATTCATATGATTGTTCCTCAGATATCAGTAAGAGAACTTTAATCCATCTTTTAGTCTAGATGTGTGTACCTTTTATCAGTTTTTTTTAGGTTTTGCAGATGACGGTTTATCTTGTCGAAGTGAACAAGAAAAACCTCGAGGTGGAGTACGCTCCAATAAAGGTGTTAAAGGCAAAGGTTTGTTTCTTTATTACAAGAGTTCTTAAAGCACTTTTACAAAATTTGTGTCTCTTTCCCGTGTAAGACGATTTCTGGTGGTTTATTTCCGCTATTCTTCTCTTCTTTTAGGAAAATATTATTTTGAAATAACACAATTATCATTCGAAGGCGACGTACGAGTTGGATGGTCAATACCTAATGCTGCTATTGACTTAGGAACAGATAGTAGAGGTTTTGGCTATAGTCGAACTGCAACAAAAGCAGTATCAGCTTTTTTCTCTAGTTATGGTGAAGTAAGTTATGAAGAGCTAGTCTTATAATTCAGCTTTTGTTATTATTCATTTGTGCTCTTCGTTGTCTAGACTTATGGTATTAACGATACAATTGGGAGTTTACTTGATTTGGATTTAATGAGAATACGATTTCATAAAAATGGTACGAACATAGAATGAAATTCTTCGCCTATGAAGAAGTTATGTTAAATACTGAGAGCCTAGTTGTCTTATAGAATAGCTTTTGGGATACTTGGCTTTAGTCTAACGTCGATTGCACGCCGAAAAAAATAAAACATGCCAGTAATAGTCACTGGCTAAAGAATATTTTGTGGGTTAAAGCTTAACCATGTGAAAACTCATGTTCGAAAGGGCTTCCTAGGCCTTATTGCATCATTGTTATAAGAAATGCCACTTTTTAATTTTTTCCATTTTCAGGTAAAGATCTTGGTCACGCATTTGATATTGATGCCCCGTTACAAACAAACGCCTTCTTTGCACATGTTTGTTTGAAAAATTGTGAAATTAAAGTAAACTTTGGAGCTGAACCATTTAAATCATTGCCAGTACGTAGCTGTTCCATTTGACAGATTCAAAGGTAAAATTATAGAAAAGCCGTGATTGTTTCTTTTATAGAATGGATATGTCTCCATTATTGATGCTCCTGCCGACTGTGTTAATGAATCTCAAGTTAAAGAAATGTCTACGGATTCACTAAAATCTCGTCATCATAGTGCTCCATTGGCAATTTTTATGAAGGTTAGTAGGAACTTGCTCGTATCTTTAGCATAACTTCAATTTTAATTGATTTCTTCTTTTGTTTTATAGCAATCACGAGAATTAGCTGCACAAACATTGAATCAAATGCAACAACTTGCAACAAATTTCGGTTTTTCTAAAATTCGGTATGTGTTTGAGGTAGACTAAAAGTCTTAAAACTACTAGTAACTTGAACTGTTTTTCACTTACATAGTGAATTAGTACTTTTACCTACTTCGTTTCATACCAAGTTCGTTTATTTACGTAATTGGTAGCAAAAATATTTCGAAACAAACCTTAAAGCTAAGGCTAAGCGATTGGAGATAACAACTTTAGTCGGTTGTATAGAAACGCTGTTTTATCTAGCTAGATTATTTTTAAGTTTAACAATTAATTGTTATTTCTCCATTTATTTTAGTCAATTATTAATTGTGAATGCGTCACCAGTGACAGAAAACGCAGATGCTTTGAAAGACGGTTCTGATATCATTGTTACTACACCCGGACGTCTATATGAATTAGTAAATGGAGATCAAATTAATTTGTCCCAAATGCGGTTCTTCGTTTTTGCAGATGCTGTAGGTTATCCGTTTTGCTGTTTTAACAGTTCAAATATTAACCTATAATCTCAAAATTTGAGTGGTTTAACCGCACATGTATTTATTCTAGATACCAAAATCTTTATCCACAACAAAGTTCATTTTCGTTGACAATTTAACCGATTTAAGACAAGTTGTATTACAAATAATAAGTCTAACATTATTAGTTTCGACTTTGAAGTAAGAGCGCCGAATTTTAAAATTGTTTAAAAAGTTTATTTTCCTGTTCCAAAAACACGGAAGGCTCATTTGGTTTTTAAGACTCTGCTGCTGCCCCTACTGCTGGCTTTCTTCGATTTTATCGGAAAAGCCCTGATTCTTTCTTTGCTTCATGTTGTCTCTATTCATCCTTATCTTGTTTCGATTTTTTAGTTCAATCAAAGTATAGGTATATCGACTGTCCAGTTGGCGAATGACACTTCTAAATATGTTATTAAGGCCATTGCTTCTTTAACCCGACGGTATACATCTGCTTCTAGGTAAAAAATACGATGACCTTGAACTCCGTCGTCAAATGGAACAACGAGAAACCAATGGACGTAATGTAAAACGGAAAGGTCGACCACAATCCAAAGCCGAACGACGAAAGAAAAAGGAACAATTATTGGCAACACTTCAACAGCAGGAAGAATAGATTTTTTTTGGCTTATTTGTTTCACAGATTTTTTGGGGTTGTTACTTAGTTAAAAATAAATTTTGTTTCCACACAAGCGCAAACATGCGTCAATAATCAGAAACAGAGCCAGCTTGTTACGTGAAAAATCTGTAGCACCCGCTGTCAAGGAAAGCACAGAGCGCCTACTACTCCACGGGTGTCCTCAATGAACAGTCTCTGTCTCTACAAATCTTGTTTCTATCTGAAACTAAATAGATATTATCCATTATTCATACGTCGAAGGACAAAACTGCTAATGGTGCAGTGCATGTGTTTCAAGTCTCCAATTTTAGCTTATGAATGTAATCCATTTGAATTGATTTCTAAACGCATCTGAAACATTTTTGTTTCCCAAAATCTCATCAAACGCTTTTCTCTGGACAACGCGCCCAGACGCGTCTTGGAAATTTCTGTTCGCAAAGGCCGTTAAGACGCGTCATAAAAACTCCAGACGCGCCTTTATAGATTTCTCTTGGCAAAGCACGTTAGGACGCGTTTTTTTTATAAACAGTGCCGGACGCGTCTGAACGCGTCATGCGGAGACGCGTCTGAACGCGTCATGCGGAGACGCGTCTGACAAACGGTTTCTAGAAAAACCGCGTTCAAACGCGTCTTTTTTAACAAAAATTCCAGACGCGTCTAAGCGCGTCACGATACGACGCGTCTTGAAGACGTCTCTAGGCAAAGCGCGGTAAGACGCGTCTTTTTTTTAAACCAAAAAAACAATGACGCGTCTGACAAACTTTTTCTGAAAAAAACGCGTTCAGACGCGTCTTTTTTAATAAAAAATTCCAAACGCGCCTAAGCGCGTCACGGTACGACGCGTTTAGACGCGTCGCGGAGACTTCTTTCGGTAAAGCGCGTTAAGACGCGTTTTTTTTAATAAAACGTGCTAGACGCGTCTAAACGCATCTCGGTACGACGCGTTTAGACGCGTCTGACAATTTTTTTCTGAAAAAAACGCGTTTAGACGCGTCTTTTCCAAAACAAACGCGTCTTTTCAGACGCAATGAATTTACATGGGTAGGTAGAAGAGAAATCGAAACATTAAAGCGTTTAAATTTTTTTTCTAGCTGGAATGGGATAATTTTGCACGTGCCACTGTATAAATTGATCTTTTAGTTAAAAAATTAAAAATATTCTGACATAAGATAAAACTGTGAGAATTAGGATACACCTAGCTTATAAATAGATAGGACAAGAGATATAGATTTAAAGCGTTAGTTAAAAACGTTTATCCGTAACTATGGTGGTGGTTTTATGCCATCTTAATATAAATTTTTGTTTATTGATATCGCTGAATAGTTGCGAATGTAACAGGACATATCAAGGACAATCATTGTCCCGTTCCTTGTAGTATGGATAGAATAAAGAACACTGTAGTAAAAGTTATTTTAGTTTGTAAAAGAAAAGAAACAATTACAGTCCTTTAGAATTAATTACCAATGTTCAATATTATTTCTGGTTTAAATTATCCGCAAACCAAAACGAACAAAATTCTTATCGCGTTAGTAATAACATGATGATGTGAATATCTTTCGCTACTAATGATAGTTTAAAAAAAGCAGATTCCCAGGTCAAATAATCATATTAAGATCATACAAGATCTTACAAGATCTTACAGATTATAAGATATCGTACGATTCTTGCTGTAAGATCGTTTAAAATCTGATGAATTTCTTACTGTAAGATTTTGCATGATTCTTAATCTCAGACGCTAGTGGAAATCTTACAAGATTCGTTTAATAGCAATCTTATGGAATCTTACTATAGGAATCTTATAAGACCTTATAAGATCGGCCTGTAAGATTTTTCCTAGAAATTCCAAAAATTTTTAAAGAAAATCTGTCTTTGTCTACTGATCCGATAAACAGTAAATCTTGGGCTGATCTTCACATTTTCCAAGAAACAGGATCAGTGGTAGATGGGCTGTACTTTTCTTTGGAGCAAGAACGCAAATATCTGCAATTTTTGACTTTTTAAGGTAAAAGTACATAAAAAAGTAATTCACAGGGGAAGTGCACGGCAGTTCAGTGAGTAAGAGAGTAAAGGGACATAAATCCTTGCCACGTTTATTGTTGTAACGATGAACATTTTCCTTTTAGCTGTCCTGGGTATCAAAAGGGTCTTTCTCAAAAAGCTTTGGTGTTTCTCTGATGTACAAGCTCAATTAAACATATAGACTATACAAAGATCTCAAAATAAAAATGTTATCTGATCAGTAATACTCATAGAAAAACTATAAAACATCAGTCTCTCTCACCTTTATTTTGAGATCAACTATTAGTCGC